ATAGATATTTCTCTCTCTCCCTCTCTTCTTCTCTCTCTCTAAAAATCAATAGAAAAGTCTCAAATAAAAAATAAATGAACTTGGCATTCTCCCAGCCCTGCCACTTGTCTTCACCAACCCTGACACCTGGAGCAGAAAGGAGTCGCTCACTCGATGGAAGTCCTACACAGCCCATCCCGAGTAGGTAAGTAGACTAGCCTTCTTCTTGACTCAACTACATGTGTATAGTGTCTGGGGTTAGCAACGGGTCTTTTGGGGGAGTGGGAACTTGCTTCCAAATTGCCTTATAACCTGTGTGGCTGTGTCTCTACAGCTGACGGCACCCCAGTCTCCCTTTCCTGGAGAAACTCCCGCATGTGTCTTAGCTCCCCACTTGGAATCCTGAAGGACACATTCAGCTTTGTGGTCTCCTATAAGCCTAAAGTGGAGCTAAATAAGTATCTGTCATTACAATGAGAGAAAGAACGAATCCTGAAAAGGGTTGAGTTTTTGCTGCCAAGATAGGGCAGGGCCCCCTGGTGACCTCAGAGACACTTGAGGAATTTGGACTTAGAGAGGTCTGACTCTCCGAGGCCTCAGAGAGGCTTAAACTGTGGAGAACAGGAATGAGAGGTCCGTCAGCTCACGGGTGCTCTTCAGGGGGACAGAAAGATGGAGCTGAGGTTTCTACAAGAACATTCCCACCAGCCAAGTGTCCCTTTTCTAGACCTGGGTGTGCCCGATCCTGGGGGTGGTCTCAGAGGCCAGAGGGAGGCCATGTCCCAGGGAAGTTCTTCGCAAAAAAACGACACGGGACCTAGCAACGTGATCAATGGTGTTATAATGCGCCCTGACTGCCGAAAGCAATTTGTTGGGGCATTTGCTCTGTAAGCACCACGCTGGTGAAGGCCTTTTACAGTACGCGCTACAGTGGGACAGACCTTCAGAAAAGCCCAGTCACTTCTAAACCCCACTGCTAACCAATCGGCTTCCGAAAAGCTCTCATGTGGAAGCTTCCCCTGGAACTCCCAGCCGTGGATTTCCAGCACCTTCTATAGCAGTGGTTCTCAACCTTGGTTGCACATTAGAATCACCTGGGAATCTTTGTAAAATCCTGATTTCTGGGCCTCATCCTCCAGAAATTCTGTTTCTTTGTTACTAATATTGTGGCCCCACCACATAACAAAGACAGAATTTCCGGAGGATGAGGCCCAGAAATCAGGATTTTAAAAAGATTCCCGGGTGATTCTAATGTGCAGCCAAGGTTGAGAACCACTGTTCTACAGTCCTCTCATTTCTTTTCCTAAAGATATCACCAAAAAAAAACCCCGCTAAGTTAAAAACACAAAGCAAAGACAGCTTCCTCATAATACAGAAAAGGTCACTCGGCTGACCTACTAAATCTCTGAATATGATGGGTGAGAAGTGGAGGGATCTTTTATATTGTCAACCAAATGCAGTCTACTCCTCGTTACTGAATTACTTGTGATGTCTTCAGGGACATGAAAGAGACATGAAAATCCAAATCTCAAACGTGGTCATCCCGCACTCTTTATTTCCCGTGCTAGGTTATGGATACCTGCCCTTCCCCCCCCCCCCAAGTTTGAAAATCACCAATAGAAGCTAAGTGCTGTTCAGCTGTGTTCTATATTTACCAACAGACTCTGGGATTTTTCCAGCATTCCGTATTTTTACAACTCCAAGCACACCTCACAGAACTATGTAACCCTCGTCTGGGTGTGAGAAAGGAAAAACTGATGCAACTAGTCCATCCTGTGTATGAACCTGGGCACAGCTCAGCTGGGTTTTAAAAAATACTGTGTCATTTTCCGAAGGAGAATTTTAAAGATGGGTGTGGTGGGGTGGGCGGGGATGGGATGGGAAAGAAAAGCGTAAGGAAAATGTCTTCTCTGATTTCCTCCTTCAAGAAGAGCAGAAAAGAAGTCAGTTTTGTGCGGTGAAAGGTAGACTGCTCATTTCTTCTATACATTTTATTGTTATGGAATACCCAAATTAAATCCACACATCACATTACTTTTGGCCAAGTAAACGTGTTGTGCAAGGTTTAAAATGCAAGGCCCTACCTTTTAGCTGCTGAGTAACTACAACAACAAAAGCAGAACGGTCACATTGTTTAATCCCTTCATTTCTCGCCTCCTAACTGACTTTCCAAATGCACTGGTGAGATGGAGAGAAATTTGTCCAGAAACACATTTTCCAACTTTCCTTGGAGACCTGACCTTTCCAACATGACGTTTGGAGACCTCTTTAAGCTCGATTTGAAGTTAGAGGACAGAGTCCTGCCAAACCGTGCCCATCAGGGTGATGGCTCATCTGCATGAAGGGTGGCTACACAACCACCTCATCCATGCAGAGGATGGCTGGAAACCGGGAAACGGCACCAAACATCTGCTGAGTAGTCAGCGATCACAAAGCTCTTCATCCCAACTACACACACTGTGCTCAGAAACAAGAATGCCTGTACCGTTGGTGAACTCTGAGTTCCTGTACAGCTCTGGGCCTTGCTTCGTAGCCCTTAGCAGATTTCAAGGAGACAAGGAAGACCACGTTTTCAGGATACGAAAGGCAAGGAGGCAGGTGACAGGTAAACTATAAAAATAAGCACTCCACAGCAGGGCAGACTGTGTCCCAAAACCTCTCTATAGTAAATGGAAACGAGTAATACCCAGCATATTCTGGTTAAAAGGGCAAAAATCTATATGTTTTTAAACAGCCCCCACCCATGGTGGTTAAAAATAACAAGTTGGTTCCTGCGAGGTAAAGCTCCCGTTACCTGGAATCACTTTTACCCGCAAGCAGTGGTCCCCTCGCTTTTATTCCTGCTCTAACACTCAGACGCAAACCAAGTCCACAGTGCATCAAAGGCTGAGATTTTCAACTGAGGGGGCCTGGGGGCCGCAGAAGCAAACTCTGAGAGGGCAAGTAGTTTGAAGGCTCCCCCAGGTGATTGTTTTTTAAAAAAAAAAATCATTTCCCCCACCCCCAGCTTTGAGGCTGACCGCCTTGCCTAAATAGACAAGATCTTCCCACCAGAAGGATCTTCAAATATGAAAGTCTCCATTTTTGACATTACTGAATTTCTAAGGTCATCAAAGCCCACACTGAATATTTATGGGTAAAATAATAGGTTGTCTGGGATTTTTCTCCGCAATAATGGGGTGGGGGACTGTGAGGGGGACAATACTGGCCATGCTGACAGCTGTTGACGGTGGGAGGCAAGGGTCACACCATTCTCTACAGCGTTGTGCATGCCTGAAATTTCCCATAGTAAAACGTTGGGTTTTTCTCAAAAGTTTTTCTTAAAGGGTAATTTGTCAAGTAACCTGGTAACATAGATAACAGTGCCAACGTTGCTGATACGTTACAGAAAAAGGGGGTCAGAACTTTCCCTCCAACTGAACCCCTTTGCCCTTCCAAACTAAAACGTGTGTTTAACTAGACCAGTGGTTGGCAAACTCATTAGTCAACAGAGCCAAGTATCAACAGTACAACGATTGAAATTTCCTTTGAGAGTCAAATTTTTTAAACTTAAACTATATAGGTAGGTACACTGTTATTAACTTAATTAGGGTACGCCTAAGGCTTAGGAAGAGCCACACTCAAGGGGCCAAAGAGCCGCATGTGGCTCGCGAGCCGCGGTTTGCCGACCACGGAACTAGACCAAACTGACAGTGTAAGTTCTTCGTTTTTAAAAGATGGCGGGAAAAAATTCCTTCTGGAGATACAGTGACAAGTTGGATAAAATGCAAAGGCTGATCAATCCGACACAAGATAGGGGAGTCTCCCCTGGCCCGTTGGCGTCAGGTGGGGTGTATCAGAATACCTGAGTCTGGCTGACTTCTCAAATGAGCCTTCTCTGCCTTTCATGCCAGGAATGCTTTGTCCCAAAGGACTCCATCCTTTGAGACCTCAGAAGCTGCAACTCTCCGATTCCATCCAGCTCTCTTTGCTATCCGTGTCTACACCCACCGTGATGCGGGTCTGGGAATGCCAGAGCTGCTCTCAGCCAGGAACCAGAACACAACATCCCCTAGTGTCAGACACCAAGAAGGCGGTCATGAGCACCTCCATTTTTAGAGCAGATTCAAAGACGGGCCACTGCTGGGCAGTATTCCCATAGCCCTACTGCCCTGAGGTTAGTCCTCATGTCCCCATTTTACAGATGAGGGCAGCCGGGCTGCAGAGGTTAAGAACTTGCCCCTCATCAGACAGACACTGACATTATATGACCCCATTTTTCACTCAAAGAACCATGCTCACAATATCCAGAACGGGGGCTGAAACTACAAGCTGGCGATGTAAGAATAACCCGACAACAGCAAGCTCCCACATTCTATTAGGACGACGGCGAGCCAGCCGCCACGGGCGGTGGACTTCACGCAGATATGGCAGACATGGTCCCTGAGGCTGGTGACCAATTTTCAGCCCTGGGATGTCCTATCCAGAGGGCCTGGCACAGAACCAGAGTCCTGCCCCTGCCTCAGCACCCCCTCTCCTGCCCGCCCCCCTCCCCCCATGCCGCCTACCTGGACGCTTGCTTTCCTTCCACAGCCCCAGTCTGTGCTGCAGAGAGAGAATCCCAGCACGTCGCACGCAACCTCTTCAGAAACCAATTCCAGAAACACGATCACAAGAGCAGCCCAAGAGGCTTTCCAGCTTGGTCATATGACTCACTCATCAAAACAGAAGAAACGCTGCGGCGAACACACCTTTAACTCGCTTCACCCTCCCCTGCGATGTGCGCCCCGAGGGACCGCAGGGACCGAGAGAGAGGGGCTCCCCTCTCCCCGTGAGAGCCTGCTGCAAGTGGCCTCCCCAGCAGTTTCCACACCTCCCTCCCCCGTTTCCTTCCTGCCCAGGCCTGAGTTCCCTCAACGCCCCTCACAGGTCCAGAGCTCTGGGAGGAGAGGACTCATCTGTGTCACTTCCTCTCCAAACATAAGCAACAGCCAGCATCTCTGCCAAGTCTCGGCAATGGGCCTGCCGGTCCGGAGCTCGGTTCCCGGGGACAGCGCCTGGTTCCCTGGCTGCTGGAGCTCCACCAGCCAGCCTCACCCAGATGGGGAGTCATGTCCACACAGGAGCCACTTCCAAGCGGCAGAACCAGGCTCCGAGGCCACCTCGCTTTCTGCAGGTACAACATGGGGGTGATAACAGTGTCCATCACTAACCAGAGTGGTCGGGAAGATTCCGGGAGTTAGGAATATCCGAGCGCTGGCACCATTCGCTTGTGTGTTCGCGCTGCCCTTATCATTATCGGTGCCGTTTCACCCAATGCTGCAGGAAATCCAAGGGAACCGAGCGCCTGCTAAGCAGCACAGGGATAAAAACTGCTTTCCACAAACCAAGAGTCGGAGGGTTTTTGAAGTTAAGGAGGCAAAACATGAGTGCAAAACAAGCAAGTACAGGTCCCACCGCCTGGCAACCGTGACAGGGTGCCCGGTGGGTTTCAGGTATGTGACCACTCCGGTAAGTCAGGGGACAGCCAAGCGGGTTCGAAAGTGTTCCGGGGCAATCGCTTCTCCGGAGCCAAGACGCTGAATCAGAGGGGAGAAGGAATGAAAACAGGTACGAACTAGTGTCAGCTGTAAAGAGTTGCATAATCCCGACTGAAGTAACCAAATGTTAATTACTGATGGGAGAAAACAAAGCCTCTAAACCAGTGGTTCTCAACCTTCCTCATGCCGCGACCGTTTAATACAGCTCCTCATGTTGTGGTGACCCCCAACCATACAATTATTTTCATGGCTACTTCATAACTGTCATTTTGCTACTAGGTGATTCTAATGTGCAGCCAAGATTGAGAACCACTGCTCTAAACACAGTCAGTCATGCGACATGCAGACACCTCCATGTAGCTAGACTACAAACACCCATGTACACATGCACAGCCATGGCAGCTGTGTCCATTCTTCTCTCCATCCCGTCTAGCAGACACACACGCACACGCACACGCACACACACTACCTAAGTGGAAACTTGGGAAATCTTAGGTTGTACTAAGCAGCTCTCTGAGTGACATTACGAGGAAATGGCATTACCTGTCCAACCAAGTGCAGTACATTCATTGTTTTAAACCCTTGTGTTAGCCTCGGACCGTTCCTGTCACCCTGGCTGACCTCAAGCTGAAGATGTGTTCAGCTGCCTTGCCTGGGGCAGAGCGAGCCCGGGCCACTGGAGACAAGAGGCTGCGTGTGGGGTGGCTCTCCCGGCCTGGGGGGTGCCTGCGGCCCTGTAGGGTATGAGCGCAGCAGCAGGAACAGGAGGACATAGGTCAAGTGCTTCAGTTCCCAAGCTGGACTGAGCTCTTAAAAGCTGAACAACTTAAACATGCAAAATTGCTGACAAATTCATCGCTAATGAACACGGCAAACTTTACACCACTTAATCTCTGCCTTCCCTCAATACTCTATATCAGAAATTTGGAATGAGTCTTCCTTCAGGAGTAGCGTGGTCTCAGCTGTCGCTTATCATTTCAGCTATAAAATCATTTGAGTGATTTACATGCATGACATCATGTAATCCTCATGATCCCAATTTACACAGTAAACATAAGGAAGGAGGCTTCCTCCGCTCTCTTCATTTATACCTGTTTCAGAATGTTAAGGACTTCAAACTTCCCTGGGGGGGTAAAAATCACTATCTACTGAAATCTTTGTACAAGAACAAAAAGAAAGAAAGAAGGAAGGAAGGAAGGAAGGAAGGAAGGAAGGAAGGATGGAAGGAAGGAAGGAAGGAAGGAAGGAAGGAAGGAATCCCTGAGAAAAGAATGCACATCATCTGTTCTTCCACTAGATTGTAAGAGGGCAGGAACCAATGTTTTAAACAGCTTGTGTAACCCCAAATCCCTCCGCACTATAATTAACACGTACTCTGACTCAGCAATGCCACTTGTGGGAAACTTTCATAGGAAATAAAAGCAACGAATCTTCAGGGTTATGTATAAGGGTCAAAAAACACCCTGAATATCCATAACAGAGTTATGTTCAAAGAAATCCTGGCATAGACAATTATTTAGGGTCTTATGTAATTATTGCTAATTAGTTAGAACAGAATCTATTGGTTCAGAGTGACACCCAGGGTGAGTTGCAGAGTAATATGTAAGGAAAAAAAATAAGGCCAAACCAGTCCTCCTATATGTGTCTGTGCTTACACAAGCTTGGAGAAACACTTCTGACCTCAGAGGGAGGAAGGCAGAAGCAGAAACATCTACTTTGCCCCTATGTAATCTTTGGAGTATTAATATTGTATTAGACCCCCCTCCCCCAAAAAAATACTTTAAACCAGTTAATCTCTGCCTTTCCTCAATATTCTATATAAGAAAATTTGGAATAAGTCTTCCTTCAGGAGTAGCATTAAATCAGCTATCACTTATCATTTCAGCTATAAAATCATCTGAGTGATTTACATACATGACATCATTTAATCCTCACAACCCCAATCTACAGGTAAGAAAACTGACACTGTATGGATCTGGCCAAAGTCCCAAAGCTAGCAGGTGGCAGAGGCTGCATCCAAAGCACAGTCCTTCACCATGAGATTTTACTGTGAGATTCACATTAATATATAGGTCCCTTCATAAATATCAGTATTTACAATACTGGCTCATTAAGCACGTGGCTTTCAGCACCATATACAGTCATACTCTGACTAAATGCAAAAGAAAAAAAAAACAAAACCCATTTGCAATCCAACATTTATTTTCAAATTAGAACTGATTAAAACCACTTATATCCTGGAACTTGCTTGAGTTTTCATTCTTTTGAATTATTAGGGTGAGACGGATCATTCTTTTTCTACTTCATCTAAAAATTTTAATAATCTTTAATACTTTCTGATTATAAATTCATTATAAATGGAAATTATAGAAAACTAAAAGGAAAAACTAAAAATCGTGCATAATGTCGCCACCCAAGGGTAATCAATTTAAAACTTCTGCATATTTTATCCCAACCTTTTAATTAAGTATATTTTAAACTTGTTTACATTATTGAGATTCTACTACTTTGTTTCATATCTTTCAGTCTTTCTGATTACTACTTATCTTCCCAAGATGGGCCACACACACCCCACAGGGGGGCTGTTTGATTTTTAATGGGGGGCAATTCAATATTGAGTTATCAATAGTGAATTTTTGTATTTCATATGGGGCCTCATATACAGTTCTAGGGGCCTCATCTACAGTATATAAATATGTATTGTGACATATTTATGCATTTCAGTTCTCTATTATATGTTCTTAAACTTTATTTGCTATTTTTTCATATTGTTTCATATTATTACTATTTTTATAACAATATCTTAGTGATTTCTTCCTTAGTTCTTCAACTGTCCTTTTGTTCTTTTATTTTCCTCTTTTCATGGATGCCATGTTCTTTGGAAGCTTGTTTAGACCATGTTAATGGCCTTTTAGGCTTCCTCCATGTGATTAGGAGTTTGCTTTTTGAATAATAATTATATGTCACGATAGAGGGGGGGTGCGGGGGGGGGAGTGGGCATCAGGATTTCAGAGATGCTTAGGCGGGGCATGGCCAAAAAAAGGTTGGGAACCACTGCTCTATGGTATAGGCCAGTGGTGGGCAAACTCATTAGTCAACAGAGCCAAATATAAATCTCTATGTGCTATTTTTACCCATTCTTAAAGTCTTTCACCTTGGAAAGGGCCACTGGGACCCATCCTCTCTATATTACAAACTCAAATTTAACGCTCTTCTTAAGGCACACAACATAACTATCCCTACCTTTCTGGCCTTCTCTCTTGAGGTCCTAATTCAACGCCCGTTAATTTTCTCTGTGGTTCCCAGGAACTCTCACCTCGCCTTGTGTTCCTTTAGCTGCAGAACTAAAATGAGACAAGTTATCTTTACAACCTACCTCATTAAGATGGGCTTATTATTCACCAGAAAACATAGGCTCATGAGCTGGACTTTCCCATAAAACCTCCACTGGAAGGAAAACTCTCACTAGAGGAAGACACCAGGAGAAAACCTGAGCCCACTCTCTTTTGTATCAGACAATAACAAAGACTAGGACAAAGGGCAAATACATACAAAATGGGTCTGGAATATCTAGGCTTACTTCCTCACTCTGTCTGGTGACTTTAGTCCAGCCAATAATTAGAAATTTAGAGCTAGAGGCTGGGAGACTGCTGGATGTGAGCCACAAAATAGTGAAGTTTTCACCCTTTTCCCAGCTGAAAAATCATTTCCAACTGAGGAGGGGGAATAAAACACAAATGCTAAAAGCCCCATGCCTGACGAAACCAGGGGATTTCAGGAACCCCGCATCAAAATATACAAATACAGAAGGAAAAGCTGGGCGTGCGAGCTAAGTGAGAGGTAAGCCTCTGGAAGTTGAACCTGAGAGGCCCAGGTACAAGGTGTTCTGCTCTATTTGGTGAGGTGAGGAGGTGGTTTGGTTTTGCAAAGTGTGGAGGCTGCGAGTAGGGAAGGACCTAAAAGCAGGGCAATGGTTTAAAAGTCTTTATTAGAAGTGTTACCTGTGCCAGTCCTTACCTAAGCAGAAGCTGGGGGGCTCCAGAGGGAAGAAAGAAAGGGAAGGGGGTGAAATCATCGAGTGAGATTGGATCTCGTGGAAAGTTGGGCAGGAGTTTCATAAAGCAGTAGGAAGTGTGTGGGAGCACTTAGTCAGATGTTTAGTAAGAAAACCAAGCAAATGAAAAGGTGAACACTGACCAGGGTGTTAGCGCAGCTAATTACACTGGCAGGATGGTGGCGAGGAAGATGGGGTATAAATGAGCTTTAGTCCTTATCTCCCACCACCACCACCACCATCACCATGTAGCTAACATTCTTGAGCACTTGTGTTTTATGATTACTATTCTGAGCACTTATAAATGGGCTTCATGCCCCTCCCAGGAGTCAAGAGGCTGCCACAACACACATGGCACCACGAAGCCAACAGAATAAGAAATACCAGATAAATATGGGAGGTGATGATGTGTTCGTTACATAGAAGGGGGAAATCATTTCACTATATTCATATCAAATCACCACGGTGGACACTTTAAATATCTTACAATAGTTATACCTCAATAAAGCTGAAATTTAAAAGATTTCTTAAAAGAATAATCAATCCCAGAAATAAACAATATGCTTTTGCATCTTTCATATTTTCATGGGGAAGCACAGAAGTGAACGCAAGCTGCACTGTGGGCTCTCCTCCCGAGAGTCTATAGGACGCGGGGCCTCTTGTGACATTGCTAAGGCCAAGAGTCACCTCTACGCGAGTGGGTGGAAGAGAGGGAATGAAGGAAGGTGATTCTGCGCCTTCAAGTATAATTAGCAACGCTGACCATGTGTCATGTTCCCCACGAGTGAAGTTAAAGGAAGGAGATGCCTGCAAGACCTGGAATTCCTCTCGTCCAACTCATGAAACTAAACAGGTCTTGGAGGTCACTACTGTGGGTGAAGCAGCAACTGTCTGAAAATCAGGACCAGCATGGGTGGCAAGATGCAGCCTCTCTTCTTAGCCTCAGCCCAAAAAGGGACAATACTAAGCACCAAAACTTATTTAGTACCTTCTGAGAAACAATTAAATACAATTGACCCTTGAACTACACCAAGTTTGAACTTCAGGGGTCAACTTATATGCAGACTTTTTTTCAATAAAGACATACAGAACTGTACTGTTTTCTCTTCCTTATGATTTTCTTAATAACGTTTTCTTTTCTCTACCTTACTTTACTGTAAGAATACAGTATATATTACATACAAATGTGTGTTATGCAACTGAGTCAAAAGTTTTATGCGCATTTTGGCTGTGCAGGATTTGAGGGAGGGGGGAAGTCTAACCCCTACATTGTCCAAGGATCAGCTATTCCATTAAGGTGAGGAATAAGAATTAAACAGTCAAAAAATCTGCAGTAACTCAATGGAGTCCAAATAATAAATAATGTGGCATTGATCCCCTCCAAGAGAAATGTACTAGGACAAGACTGAAGTTATCAAATGAAGACGGGGCAAGAAAAACTCTGTTTGAATATAGTTATGATATGCTATTTTAATATATTTTTCACACCCACAGATAAACAACACTTCATGTTTCTTTTCTAAGCATAAAAATAAAACTCCCCTTGCATTCCTGGGTCTGAGTTTGTAATGTACTCAGTAATTTTCCATTTCACTTGTGTTCACGGATTTAGAAATGTGCTTCAGCTCTTAACAAAAATATTTATGCTCTGAAGTATTTATTGCTTCTGCCTAACGAGATCCCAGTGTACAGATGAGAAAGGTATCCAGGAGGAAATGGGGAATAATAGTGTGCAAAGTGTTCTAGAGCGGAAGGTCAAACTGCGGAACATACTTTAACTGTAACAGGATAGGGCTGGAAACAGAGGGAGGCCTACTCTAGCCCTGCCCAGGGAGCTCTGCCCAGGTCCTCAAGGCAAGGAATCCTAGCTCCAAAGCACACTGACCACACACATGACCAACACCAACACGCTGCAGTCCCCCGGGGAAACCCTACCCAGCTCCCCCAAACTTCAAATCATTGGTTTTCTGGTTCTTTTTCAAAGAAACACCTTCATTTTCAAATGCAACATTCCAGTAAAAGCAAAACTGAGTGGTACATCCTCCAGGACACCCTAGTCCAGTGGTTGGCAAACTCATTAGTCCACAGAGCCAAATATCAACAGGACAACGATTGGAATTTCTTTTGAGAGCCAAATTTTTTAAACTTAAACTATATAGGTAGGTACATTGTTATGAACTTAATTAGGGTACTCCTAAGGCTTAGGAAGAGCCACACTCAAGGGGCCAAAGAGCCACATGTGGCTCGCGAGCCGCAGTTTGCCGACCACTCCCCTAATCCCAAGTCTTGAGTTACCTAAAGTGACCAGGGAACACAATTTGAAAAGCCAAACTAAATGAAAGCTGAAGGGAAATTTGAGAATCACCAAAAAATATTCATCTGTAACATATATACTTCCATCATTCAGCTTTAATTTTATCTATGTTATATGAAGCTGCTTTGGTAAGTCATAAAAATACTATACAAAAGTATACCAATCTTCATGATCAAACTACAGGGCAAAAGGAAGAGTAGAAGTCAATCATTCTATCAATCTAGCTCAGTCTAAATGTAAGAAAACAAAATTATAAAAGTGCCAAAAGAAAATATATTATTAATGTGAAGGTATGTAAGTCTCTCCTAAATACTATCAGATTTTATTACATAATTTTAAATGCTTCCATGGCTAAAGACAAGGTAAAGTGGATTATAAGACAACGACCTGAGAAAAAATACTTGCAATATACTTGCAATAGACAAAAAATTCAGGATCATAAAAATCCAATAAGAAACTTAAAAAAAAAAAAAAGACCAGACACTTTATAGCTAAAAGACATCGGATTAAAAAGCATATGAAGATACTCAACCTCGCCCTAACCAGTTTGGCTCGGTGGATAGAGCGTTGGCCTGCAGACTGAAGGGTCCCAGGTTCGATTCCAGTCAAGGGCATGTACCTTGGTTGCGGGATCGATCCCCAGTAGGGGGTGTGCAGGAGGCAGCTGATGGATGTTTCTCTCTCATCAATGTTTTTAACTCTCTATCCCCCTCCCTTCCTCTCTGTAAAAA